ATAAATAGTAGATTCTATGAAATGTATAAATTAAATAAAAATGTATGAAAAAAAATTAATTTTATCTGCTTAAACTATAAATTAACTTTTGCCAATAATATAATAAATTAAAACCTTCGTAAAATAAGACCCGTGTTTACCACAATTAGAAAAATATAATAAGGAAACCGTTCAACATAAAATTGTGTTGATCTCATATTGGTCACATGGAAAATAAATTCCTAGATCGCAACCTCAAAATCAAGAAAATTCAACATCTTCATAAGGAAAACGATAGTTTTCAAAAATGTTGACAGATAAGTTTTCAAAGATCTCCCTTTTTCCACAAGTGTGAAATAGGATGGATATAACAAAGTTTCTTAAAACTTGACCTTATAATTAAAAAAGTAAAAACAACTTTTTCAAAAATCAACGCCATCTTTAAACTTGAAAAAGGAATTTAAGCTAATTCCATGGAACTTAATAAGTTTGTTGGAAAAAAAAATAAAAATCATTCAAATAAATTACGTAAATAGAGTAAGAATTATCCAAGGATCAGTCAATACTTGTAAACTATGGGCATGAAAATTGTAGGGTTCTTCTAGTGGGAAGTCGCCTCGTTTTTTCTCGGCGAGGAGATTCCACCTCGGTGTCCTGTGGTAGATTCCGAGCTTGGTTTTGTTCCAGCTTAGTGACGGTGTTTGTCAATTTCTCAATAGCTTCCTTCATCGTCGCCATTTGAGGGAGGATAGTTTCATTTTGACCTCGTCTTTCAGGATTTCTTGGATCGCTGGTCTGTTCGGGATGGGTATGGGATTGATTTTCAGATACTGAAAAATTCGTCCATGATACCATTTTATGAATTTTGTGAAGAGATGGGGCTATTTTCAAGTTGGGGCCCTCCTTCTAGCTCCAAACTATTGACGTTTAAAAATGTATAGACAATATTCAAGCCAACTTAGGGAAATAAACATGAAATTGATTGATCCTTTACCAACGGATTACAAGATTATTACACAATCATACTCTTTTTCCCCATTATAGGAGATATTTGAAATATGAAGAGAATGAGAAAGTGCCCCTTCTCGTCCCCTCCCCTTCTCCTTTTATAATGGGATAATGCGTGCACAGTGTACCTCCTGTCATATCAATCTGTAATACCGAGCTAAATAAGTACATATGTTGGCGTAATAGGATTGGTTGCCGAGTTCAGCTCCGTCAGTTGATCATGAGTTACTGGTACAGGTGGTCCCCAACAATTAATGCATTACTTAGGAAGGGAGGCTAAGATTTTTGATTAGAGGATACCGTGTGCTCTGACGTAAGACCTTTCCATGTGTATCTTCCTGATGGTAGCCCGTATATCATGTCAGTGATTTTTAATCATTATTCATTATTTCATCTTGAAGGACTACACAAGCTTCTTGAGTAAGCCACTCAAGATCCGAACTGACCTCGCATATCCGAGCTCACATCATTATCCCCTTACTGGGTACACCAATCCGAACTAAGTGACCTCGGAGGTCGGTGTCAACAAGTTTTATCTAGTGTAGAAAGTTTATTTCATTCCAATTATAACTCTCACTTTAAATCCTATAAATATATGTCATGATTCTTAATAAAAGATACAATTGAGTTTTAACTCTTATATTTTCTTCTCTTATTGTTCTATTATTTTTACTACATAACACGTACTTTTTTATTTAGCAGGTATTTAATCACTACTAGAATAATGAGATTAGAGATATTTCAATTAAATATTTAACATACTCAAATTTAGACTATAATTCTAAATGTACTTGGTAAAGTATATGATATATGTAGATGACTATTTCACATTGAAAATCAGGTTAAGCTGGATGTAATTTCAAAACAATCGTGTATTTGCCAGATTGGTTTACAAGGATCCTCTTGGCAATATTTCATTGGAAGTTGGAAAAAAAAAAAAAAACTATACATGTTCTGCCACACAAATTAATCCATTTTAAATTAGATAAATTCAACAAATAAACAGCAGTGCTTGGGTAAGTTTAGCAGGCTAAATTGCAAAGAAACACATGCACAAGAAATTAACTGCAAAGAGAAGCTGCAGATTTTAGAGAAGGCAAAAATCACTGTAAAGATAGTTTCCAATGTTTTGATGAAAAAAAAAATTAGATGTTATTTATAACAAGTCATTTTGTTGGATTTGTTGCTAAAATGCTTACATACCTTACATCCCCCTGGAACTCACTTTGTGAAATCATGTAATAATACCATTTTCAATATCATTCTTTTTAGTTTAAACGAAAAGTATAATGATTTATTTTACATTTTATATCACAATCAGAAATACTACTTCAGAACACAGTATATACACTTATACTAGTTATAGTGTCATAAATAATTAACAAATAAGAACGAAATAACCTTCAAAGTAGGGAGCTTGAGCGTGAAAACTTATTTTTGTACATACATCAGAACTTCTTCGTCTTCCTTTTTCTCTTTCCCTTTTTTTCTTAATGAGGATTGGAAGAGTCCTTAGGATAACCACAACACCAACAAAGGAGTAACCCTAATATGTAATATAGAAAAACAACAGGAAGCTTTTCTGTGGACCAAAAAATCGACCTCATATAAGGAAGCGCCAAAGTTAGGTGACCTGCGGGGGAGATGGCATGCCAAAATCAACATAATTACATAATAATGAAATGAAAGAAATAGCAAGATGGGATCATAAGTAAGTATTTGGTGCCTCTACAGCCATCATAGATAAAAAGTAGGTAAATTGATGGTGGGATTCGAAGCGTGCCAAATGGAGTCTAATTCTATCGTGTACTTTTGAAGATTTGTACTAAAAACATGTTAATCTACATTTGTGGGAGAAACTAATTTCCAAGAAACATAAATCATTGGCATTACTTGCATCATTCCTCATTAACCAGATTGAGCAGTCAATTCACCAAGTTTATGATCAAGACGAAGAACAGCATAGTTGTGAATGAAAATAGCTAATGGAAAAATAAGATTGCTAGCCTAGATTGTAAGCATGAAAGTTGAAAAGTATTAAGTACATAAATGTTTTATTGAATTGATGTTTATCAATACTGAAGATGTCCTGAAATTAGCTTACCATCTGCTATTGTATGAGCAAACAATTAATCAAATAACTATAGGTAATGATATATATTGATTAAATTTCATGGCATAAGTATAATTTATTGAAGTTCGAAATTAAACAATTTAACAGTTTTCGCCACAAACATGTGGAAGCAACGATTTTCAGTGCGGAAAAAGTTATTAACTTGTTGTCTGAGCTAGAAACACTTAGCATGATGAATATGATGATGTTATATATTTGCAGTACAACTCACTTCAGCCATCTTTGAATTAAGTTCCTAGTGTACTATACTATAATGAACTATACACAAAGTTTATTCCATCATTTATCACAATAATCACTAATCTTATGCAAACATCGGAAACACCTTCTGTATTCAAATCAAAAACATATCTTCAAGATCAAAACAACAAGGCTGAAGACTAATCATAATAATATAGCAACAAAAGAATATTATTTTACCGATCAAAACAGACGCATATGCACATTTCATTATGATAAACCAGCTGGGAATCATAGGAAAAATCCAATTAATAACCTAGTTCTTTATGGGCACTAAATAAAGAATTCTATAAAATTTCAAGAATAATCATATTCAAGATCATAATAATTCCTCTTGTAAAGAATGAATGAAAATACATTTTTTGTGTTTTAGGCATGGAATGGTGATAAATACATCCACGGAAGTGTAATTCTACAGCAACAAATCAACTTTCCAAAGGAGATAAAAAGTATGACAAAATTATTATATGGATGATGAGAATGTGGGATTATTTCAAATTTTTTCGTTCGTGAAATTGTTAGCCAACAAAAACTTCTTAAAATTTTTTTATTCAATTTGAATAAACTGAAGTTTATCTGGTCTTCTCAGGAACATGGAACTTATCAAAATTAAAAATCTAGAAACAGAAATCAATTGAAATTGAAAATTGACACACGTGTCTTCATTTTTCAAATTCAAAGCAGTAATTAACTTGCCGTTTCAAGTCATTAAGGGACATTAAGCTCTAATTGGAATGGATTTAAAATCGATGAATGATTTAAGAAAAAGGGAAGATAAAAGGGGAAAGAGGTTGAGATATAGGGTTCAAGTACGAAACCAGAAAGGAGATCAGGAGAAATTGATTCACGGATGCAGAAGATGATGTTTGTGTTTACCTAAAAATCAACTCTGAGATAATAGTTCATCTAATAGATCCGATCCCAAGTCCTCAAGCTCCAAAACTTCTTTACTAATTTGTTTCTTTTTTCCTTTGCCATTCGAAGAACTTCGAGCCCTGTGAGTCTCTTTTATGGCTTCAGCTGGTGATGAACCATCTTTGCACTTGTAATTCATGTTTTTAAGGGATTCCTTTACTTTCTCTAAAGGAAAATTAAGGCCAGCTGAAGCCCCGCGCATTGCAAACGCAGCTTGATCATAAACCATACCAGCTTCTTCTGCACTGTCAAAAGTCCCAAGCCAAACCCTTATTCCGTTCCTGGTCGAATCCCTTATCTCTGCAGCATACTTACCCCATGGCCTTTTTCTGACACCAATATAGTGCTTTTCTTTATTAGCCTCTACAAGATTCCAAAGAAATTCTTGTATTCCTTCTTCAATACTGTTCAAGTCCTCGGAGGATTTAGCTTCTTCCTTTGCATTAATATTGAAAGATGGACTCTCCTCTTCTACTTTTAACGCGTCTTTGCCACAAGAAGAATCCATCCTTTAAAATGAGTTGGGGGGTAAAAAATGGTTAGTTTACTTTTGTTTCACTAATAATATGATGGAATATCACATGCAGAAGAAAACATTTATAGCTGTATACCATAGTTTATTTTCATGTTAAAAAGATATTTTTCCAATATAAAATAGGATTGAAAGTTCAAAGATAAAGTGATAACGATTGGACAATGAAGTTAATCATTCAAAACATAATGAATTTATAGGGTTTCCAGCCACCTAGCCCCGAGCTTATGAATTTTTTATTTAGACATATTTTGTCATGACTTTTAAAAAGTCAAAATGAGCTTTTGAAATTAAAACTATGTTTTTGTATCAATTTAGTTAATTATATGAAAGTGTTTCTTTTATTTAGAAGAACTTTTAGAGAAAATTACTCTAATCATAGCTTCTTCTGAAAATAGGAAGCTATTTGAAAAATTAATTTTCAAATAAAAATAAAAATAATATTATTTAGCCACACTTGAGTTATAACCACAATCTATGTGTTGTTTGTTGATAAGTTAAATGAAATGTGAAATTAAATAACTCATTTAATTCCACTTATTATTTAATGTCACATTAACGACACACACTAGGGTTATAACCCCAGTGGAGCTAAATATCATTACTCTAAAAATAAAGATATCTTCCTCCAAAAGTTTTTATACAGAAAGCACATGGCATGTTAAACGGATCCTTAGTTCTTTTTTTACAAGGTAAACGAGGTGAGTTGCGGTAGAATCGGAAACCAACTTAAAACTATAATATATCTACTGACATTAATCTCAATATACATTTTGTACAAGTAATAAGTGATGAAAAAATGTATATACTCCACTTTATATTTATTGAGAATCATGCGGAGTGTGTATATTATAATTTAAGAAATGAATATGTATAGTTAAAAGATATATTTGACCAAAAATATTATAATTCCAAACAAACACTTATCAAATTATATTCATCTTCCACTTCTACTTTTGTTTCCTTTTATGTAAACTCATGCTGAGGAAACATAAGAAATCTACTCATCTTTTGTCTTCTTCCGTCGGCGGATTCCACCTGAGTTGCTTTGTGAGGATGATCTAACTTAGAAACTATTTATATAATAATCTATCAATCCAGTTAGGGTTTACTTTATGCCAAGGTAGTCATTGTTATTATAAATAATCACTATTTAAGTAATTGTTGAAAACTACATTCAAGTAAATTAATCAACTGCCTCTTTCATAGATAAAACCTTTAGATGATGACAAATTCGATATAATATTAATTAATCTATTATATATATACGTATGCAGGCAAAGTTTATAGACTCAAGTCTGTTTCCACAGCCTAATTTTGAGATGTTTGATAAAAATAAAATAAAATTGCAAGTACTAACGAGCATGTTGAAAATTAAAAATACGTGTACAACTCTCTAACAATTTAAACTTGTACGTCATGCTGTTCAATATAATGACAATTTTTAGTGTCGCCATCTCCCATATCCACCCAATTTGATTTTGTCTCACAATGGCCATTCAATTTCATATAACTTTTCATAATGACTACTCAATTTCATATAACATTTGACCATGATCATTCAACTTCTTTTCACCATTTTCAATAATTTTAAAAGGGGTAAAACGGTAACTTTTCATTATATATATAAAATAAATTTTAAAATAAAAACTTATTTTTTAAAAAATGTTACTTAAAAAAATAAAATAAAATAAAAACTTATTAAAAAAAGTTACTTAGAAAAATAAAATAAAAAACTTATTTAAAACAAAGTTGATGTAGGAGCATCCGACTCAGATGACGCTGAGCTGTCCGACAACACATTGATTGCGCTAAAATATCACGAGTTGGCATATCAATGCAAATATGGCAAGTGAACATAGTCTTTTCCTAATTGGGTGACATTTGGACGAGTTTTGGTAATTTGGCAATAACTTTGGTTACGGATATCAGAATCCCGCTCATGACCCCAATTCAGAAAGCTCTTTTCGGCGCGCACATCGTAGCCTCCGAGCTATGCTCGAGAGAATCGTTTTCGAGGGCAAAATCCGCTGATTTCCCTTTCAAATTCCAATTTTAAGTTATTTTTTTTTACCTTTTTTAGTAATATTTCGTTTGCCTTTTTAAGATAGATTACGAACTCGGATTGAGTTGAATTTTTGGGATTTTATTTCTTTTCTTACATACTATCTTTTGATATGAATATTGAGATTTTTCTATTTTTGGTAAAATATCGTAATTATGATTTTTGAGTTATATAACACTGCTTGTGGGTTATTATTAGAAACTGGAAAAATAATAAAGATTTCTCTTGTTATCTTTTCTTGATTTCTTTAGCTATATAACCCGGCTTGTAGGTTATTTACGAATTCATTGATTGAATAATAAAGATTCTCTTTTCTTGGACGTTTTCTCTTGCTCTCTCTCTTTCTCTATTCATTACCTATTACTACCTACCTGCAAAATAATCTATATTCTGCCCGGCGTCAGTTGGTATCGGAGCTTCATCATCTTCCTGAGGTAAGATTTCATCAGTCCTATCATGGCTGGTGGTCGTGGTCATCGCAGGCAGGTTCCAAATGAGGAAGTCCCTCATCGTGATCGTAATGTTCAGGATGTGACGATTGAAGATTTACAGATGCAAGTTGCGGAGTTAACTCAGCGTCTAATGACACTGGATTTCAGTTTCGAAAATCCATATCACCATCTTGCTCGATTCGGGGAGCACCATGGTCAGGAGGATCGCCATTGAGACTTCAGCTTTAGAGTGGATCTGCCTGAGTTTTTCGGTACATTGCAGGCCAAAGGATTTGTTGATTGGTTGAACGAAGTGGAGCGTATCTTCGAGTTTAAGGAGGTCCCAGATCGTATCAAGGTGAAACTAGTCGCCATTAAACTGAAGGGTAGAGCATCTGCATGGTGGGAACAACTGAGGGGCTCAAGAGGCAGACAGGGCAAGACAAAGATCACTGATTGGGAGAAGATGAAGAAGAAGATGAAAGGTCACTTCCTTCCTTTTGGCTACACCTAAACCTTGTTTCAGCGGCTCCATTCCCTGAAGCAAGGCATGAGATTAGTTGAAGATTATACGGAGGATTTCTATCAGTTGTTAGCCCGAAATGACTTATCTGAGACAGAAGAGCAAATGGTGGCACGGTATTTGGGGGATTACGACAACCCATATCGGATGCCCTCAACCTTCACTCGCTGTGGACCGTTTCTGAGGCATACCAGCATGTACTGGCAGTGGAAAAAAGGCAAAATAGGAGGTCGATAATCCGAAACGAAAGTAACCAACCAGTTAGCCCCCCAACATTCCGTCTTGGTCAACAGCCACTATGAGAGATTTTTGGTTCAAATATCAAGTGTTTCAAATGTGGTGAACAGGGCTATAGGGAAATTGATTGCAGGAAACCAGCAAGTCAGAAGGGTAAAAATTTTCTTGTTCAGGAGGACGCAGTAGATGAAACGGAGGAGTTTGGAGAACCCGTGTATGTCAATCATGAAGTTGACGATGTGTTGTATGGAGATGGCCATGAGACCCTGGTTGTTCACAAGAGTTTACTGACCCCCAATGGCGATTCAGGAGACGAATGGTTAAGATCCAATATTTTCCATATGACCTGCACAGTTGCAGATAAAGTCTACAAGCTGATTATCGACAGTGGGAGCTGTGAGAATGTAGTGTCCGAAGATGCTGTCCAAAAACTGCAGTTGAAGACGAATCGTCATCCCAGACAATATAAATTTTCATGGTTGAATAAAGGTAGTGAGGTAACAGTCGAAAGAAGGTGTCAGTATCCTTTTCGATTGCAAAAAATATTTTGATAACACTTGGTGTGATGTCGTGTCTATGGATGCTTGTCATTTGTTGTTAGGCCGAAATTGGCAGTATGATCGCAGTGTTATTCATGATGGGCAGAAAAATACATATTCCCTTAGCATCAAGGGGAAGAAGAATGTGTGGCGCCTCATCGAGAAGAGACTACTCATGTCCCGATAGCCAACAATATCAACATGCTTTCTATGTCCAAGTTTTTAGTTGAGATTGAGCGTGAAGATATAGTCTACGCTTTACTGCCTCGTGGAAGTAGTGCAAAAGACGAGGATCCTGACTTATAAGCAGAAGTGCAGCAACTACTATCGGAGTTCTCTAACCTGATGCCAGAGGATCTCCCTCTACCCAACGGTGGATACTCCCTATAAGTTGTAGTCTAGCTTCTTGTTCTGGGGTCGAGTTTGCCTAATCGACCAGTGTATCGCCTCAGTCCCAAGGAAGCTGAAGAATTACAGTGACATGTGGTTGAGTTGTTGGAGAGGGGTTACATCCGTGAGAGTATAAGCCCATGTGCAGTTCCTGCTCTACTGGTGCCGAAGAAGTATGGTTCATGGCATATGTGAGTTGACAGCCGAGAAATAAATAAAATTACTGTGAAGTACAAGTTTTCAATTCCTCGCCTGGATGATATGTTAGATCAATTGTCTGGGTCTAAGGTATTTTCAAAAATTGACCTTAAAAGTGGATACCATCATATCAGAATAAGGCCTGGAGATGAATGGAAGACGACGTTTAAGACGCAGCACGGCTTATATGAGTGGATGGTCATGCCTTTTGGGTTATCCAATGTGCCCAGCACATTCATGAGATTTATGCATCAGATCTTGCGACCTTTTATGGGAAAATTCATTGTGGTTTACTTCCATGATATTCTCATTTATAGTCCAACGTAGGTGTCAGAATTTGTTCACCTCCGTATTGTTTTTGAGATGCTAAAAAAATAGTGCCTACTTGTTAATTAGAAGAAGTGTTCCTTTTTTACTACTTCTGTAACTTTTCTCGATTTTGTTGTGTCAACTGACAGTGTTCATGCAGATCAGTCAAAGATAGATGCTGTATTGGAATGGCCTAAACCCAGAAACTTCCACGATGTCAGGAGCTTCCAGGTGTTAGCATCATTCTATCGGCGGTTCATCAAAAACTTTAGNTGGAGTTCTAT